AATTCCTTCTTCTCGATCCATACGCGACGGCAACGACGGCGTTCGGAGCAGATTCCTACGCTTAGCGCCACCATTCCCAGGCGAAACACCCACATCMAAACCAGAAGAGCAGACATCCCGAGCAGGACTTTCAACAAACACCTGGTGGGCAACATTAGAAAGACAAGGATCAGAGCGGGAGCTCGAAATTCTTGGGCTCCTCCTAATAAGCAGATTCTCAAAGAACCAGTAGAGCTCCAAAAGTTCATCAATCCGAGCCTCGTTCCTTAAAGGAGAAGATTCAACAGAGGCATTCATTGGGGCGCCCCTGGCAGAAGAAGTATGAGCAGTGAAACTGAAAATGATGATAAAAAAAGGAAAAACAGGGGAATTGGGTACCTGGGAATGAGAGTGGCCATCATGAATTCTTATGAAAATGGGATTTTATGATTAGGGAAGAGCAGGGGAGGCCATGTGAGATTGTGTAACATGCGCTGTCCTTTGATCTCCAACCACAATACATTATTATTATCATTTTTTTTCACTTCATGACAACATAGCTTAGCTATCAGAGAATAGAGACAGATTTTTTTTGGGGTCACATTACCATTTTATAGATTATTTGTTGTGTGAATTGAACTCCACTCTGAATGACAAAGTATGAGATGCCACTTTTAAACTGAGAAATTGATAATGGTTGATTTGWTAATGGAGGCCATATTGTATTTTTATGGTTGCCCTCCCACTTTTTTTCTTTTTTTTTTCTGAAATATTATTTTGATCACCCTAGTTTTAGAAGATAAATAAATCTATCGCTCAACCCAAAAATTTATACCGATCAATTGAGTAAATTTAATTCATTTATAGATAACCTAACACGGTTTGAGTTTATTCTGGTCTACATACTCTCAAAATCTATTTTTATTTATGTTTTGGCTGTACAATACTTAAAAATATGGATGTYTTCTTCGTTCATTTTCATTTTTATCTCATTTATTTCGTTGAAAAATTAGAAGGATAATTTACCCACTAATTTTTTTTTGAAATGTAGCCATAAATTTATAATAATGAATTTTTATTGTGTTAAATATGTGTTAAAATTATGCAAATTGGGACCAAAATAGTTAACTTTTAAAAGTGTTAAGATCAAAAGAATGTTTTGAAATTGTTTCAAAATAAACTAAAGAAAAAAGTACATGAACTAAAATAAAGATTTTGAAAATATAAAGACCAAAACGAACAAAATTGTATTAAAACCTGAACACACTTTTTTTTTTCTTTTTATTTGTGATGATCAAAGCAAAGAGTTGTATCATCTGATGGTGGATTTGTACTCTTTTTAAATGGTAGTGAATTATTCTCCTCTATTTTTCTTATAAGGATTTTTCACATATAATTGATAAGATTTCAAAAATTAATTAAAACGAATAAAATTTTTGAAGGAATCACAAATTGAATTTGTATAGGTACGAATCACTAAACTATTTAAGGTACCTATTTCCGACTAAAATTGTAAGTTCGAATTCTCATCCYCATATCTAAAAGAAAAATCTGCAAGTTTTTTAATCCAYGGACTTTTGAAACAGTTTGAAAAACAAAAATTGACATTTTTTATTTACAAAAATCATTTGGCCATTTTTCAAGATGAAGTTACAAATAGACCTAGTATAAATTCTTACTATTCTTTATCAGTTAGGTATAAATTGCGCAAATTAAAATTTATTATTTCTAGATTTTTATTTTCACCTTTCCTCTTGATTTGTTTTTACAAGTATAAAAACAAATTTTAACAGCAATTCTGAGAACCAGATTAGAACAATCTCCAAATAATATTTTAGGGTCTAAATTATAGTTTAAGCAAAAACATGTTATATAAATATTTCCTCCACGATTTTCCATATCCATTGATTTTATGTACTATAAAAAAATGTCTCTCCTCCCAATACTTTTCAACGACACAAAAATATTTCTAGGGCCATGAGAGAGAATGAAGGGGAAAATATTATATGTTTGATTTAAATAATATTTTGTCATGTATTTTTCCTTTTTTTCGTCGTTCCCGTACTTTTAATTTATGTTCATTTTAGTTCTTAAACAATACAAATTTATGTTTAAATTTCAAGAAATCTTAAAGACGAACCACCACTTAATCCAAAAGTAACTGTTGGATTGARTAAATTTAATYCATAYATGATATCTCAATAAGAGTAAAGTATTATACTAAAATTATAATAGAAAAAAAGACAAAAATAAAAATAAAGTAACCAAAATGATAACTTTTTAAAATGACTGAAATAGACGTTTTGAAAGTCTATGGATTGAAAAAGTTGAAACTACAGAGATTAAGAAGACATTTTGAATTCAGATACATTAAAATGAATCAAAGTCGAAACTATTGAYCAAAATAGTATTTATATATATATATATATATAAAACAATTTTCTAATTCATATAATCTGTTGGAAGGAGAATAAAAAAAGGTAGCATTGAAGCCCTACAGCCATAGAAGGGAAGAAGACAGGTTGATTACAGCACACTCCCATGTGAGGCATCCTCTCTATATGCAAAAACAAGCTTGTCCATATTAATATTTTTCTACACTATTTGTGTGACAGCTATATTTTCTTAATATGCCCCTAAAACATAGGGTTATATTATTATTTTGTTCTTAAGCATGTTTTTAGCTTGCATTAAGAGAAAACATGGAATAAAATCTCTTTTATGCTCCGATTGGCTTTTGGAATTTGACATTAATGATTTCAAATTCCAGGATTTCGAAAGATGAAAATGATTTCGAATTCTTAATTGTGTTTGGAACCAAATTAATTTGAAATCATTGAAATTAAAATTTATTGTTTGGATGTTCACGAAAAAAGAAAAGAAAGTATAATATTTTACTGTTATGCTCTCTTACCAGTTTGCATGATATTGTATAAATAAATAATGATAATTTAATGTTATAATAGGAAATAGTAATCTCACCTACATATAAAAATAAAATCATTTAATTTAATAATTTAAAACTGAAATTAAAAAACTTATAAATTTCTCTCTTGAAATATATATTTTGTGAATTATTTTAAATTTAAACCAAAATAATCAATACGTTTGTTATAACTAAACAAACTTAAACCACAATCCAACTCTCCCTATCTTTTTTTCATTATTTTCCTTTTTATTTTCATGCTCATTTTTTTTCTCAAAATAATACTTACACTAACAAAAAAAATATAAAAAAGCAAAAAAATAGTTAAAAAAAAATAGAGATTTTAAATGTATGAAACTACCAATTTTTTTGGAACTGAATTTTATTTTTACCCAAATTAGTGATAAAAATTGAAATAAAAAGAAACAAAGCTAACATTACAAAGCAAAACATAAAATTAATTTATATTTTGACTGAAAAGTAATCCATAAAGATGTACGTAGAAGGAGACAAAACAGAAAATAGTATGCAATTTGTCTAAAAAAAGGTGGAGTGATTTATTTAAAAAAATATGAAAAAGTCTATTTTTTACCTATTTTATAGGATAATTTTGGAATTTGTTACTTTTAATTCCAAATCCAACGCGTATTTGTAATCCTCGCAAATTAGAGATTTCAAACGCAGGATTAACGATCTCCTGAGGAGTGAGGCACATTAGTGAGAGAGTATCAAAATCTCTATTTGATTGGTAAGCTTCATCCAGAAGTAAAACTTATTGAGTATGCAAAAAATTATGATGTAAACGTAATTAGGTTTATCAGTGTTTGTAATACAACGAAGTACAAGAGACTTTGTGTGTCACACTCATTCAAATATGTAACATGTACTTGGAACAAAAATTGTGTTAATTAACTTAATTCTTAAAAGTCMATGTTTAAGTTAATCAACAGTTATATAAATTAAGCCATTATCAAATAAAATAAAAAATAATGATTAAAAATAGTATATTTAGTATAATTGCTTTGTAGAAATACATATTTGCAAATAAATAGTGAGAAACTTAGAAATAAAGGCACACATTACACATTTCGTAATTGATTGGGCTTTATGTAATTGGGCCTCAACATGGACCACCTCAATATTTCTTGTTGGGCCTACAAAGATGATGGTGAAGTTTAGAGAAAAAGGGTAGAGGCCCACAAAATCTAGAGGGAGAGTGGGAAAGAGAGACGACAGGAAATTTAGAGAGAGAATGGGAGAGTTCAAAGAGGGAGAAATCAATCAAAACATTCCCAAAATAGGAATTAAATTAAATATTGATGTGTTGGAAATGCATAGGTTTCAATTTTATAGAGATGGAAGACTGGACAAAGCTCAAATTAGAGAGAAACTTGATCGATTTTTATGCAATGAAGCATTTTCCACCCCCATTTACGCGAGGAGTAAGTTGAACTCCGATACTGAACTGGGAGGATAGTAACTCGCAAGGATAGAGGTTCGCAAGGATAGAGGTGCCAAGCAAGCATGACAGCGAAATGTCTAGCAATTTTGGATGGTCTCCTCTTCTTAGTTAACGAAAATATTGGACATTCGGAATGAGACTCATAATCAAATCTAACWTCTTTCAATCGATTCATCTAATAAAAGGACAGACCCCAACCATTCTTCAAAATAATAACAAAACTCATTTTATTAATTGAGTTGAAAAAATAGAAATATTACTCACACATATAATAGAAACCTTGCTAATTTCATATGACATAGCACGTTTGACATAATTGACCTAAAATTGCTTACTATCGTATAGAAAAATGATCTTACTAAAATGTGGTATATCGACAATTTTCAACTTCAGAAAAATTATCAATTTTGGATTCGATACATCCTCATTTTTTTTTTTAATATTTATTGATTACAAAAAAAAAATCACCTTTAAAAAGAATGTAAGGACTAAATTGAAAAGAAAATCTCAAACGTTTCTAAATTATATATTTAGACTCTAATCTATAATTCTATAATATATTAAAAGGTACGGACGTAGAAAAAACATTTTTTTGACAATATTGACCCTTACTTTTTGTGTAACACCAAAATTATCATTCTCTTAAATTTATGTTTCTCTCTCATCCTTCCCTCCTAGGTGACACTTTTTTACATTTGTCTCTCACTTATTTAATTATAATTAAATTTTTAGGGAACAAAATTTAAATGCATCACAAGGTGGATCGAATGAATGAAACCTCAAAGGTTAAGAATATCAAAAGTTTTGCTTTGTAAAAGTGGTTCTCTTCCTCCTCATTTTCACACTAATTTGTTCTTTTCTTTTATACATATTTTTTTTTTATCTTTAGTTCATCTTGGTATCTTGGTTTCTAGATTTTGTGATAGAATACTAACATTTTCAATATTCTTTTTTACGTTGTAGAGCGGCGTTGTTTAGCAATTGTTGATCATTGTGTGTATCTTGCAAGCATTTGTTAGTTTGATCTCAAGCATTAATAAGAAGTAAATATATTTTATGAAAATATATGATAATCTCCAACAATATTGCTATATTTTTAAGTTCGGACTATTTTGTAGTTAATTTTAATATCATTATTTTTTATTTTAAATATTTTTACATATTTAAAAGTTGTTAGGTTGTCTGTTTTATTTAAATACAACAGGATTAATATTTGATTTTCTTATATACATGAAGAAAAAA